GTACTGAAAAACAACAATATGCCTGTATATACTCTCCAGATGATGAAGTTAGATTAAATGATGTAAATGATATTCAGTATATGCACTATTTTCTATTAGGTGACACACTGGCAAAGTCCTCATATGCATGCATATTTTCCCGCTTTGAACTCGTTCCCCTCGCTGCTCGGAGACATGCTTGCAGATGCTATTAACTGCATAGGATTTACATGGGTAAGAACAACTACATATCCTAGGGGGTATATCGGGGTTATTATATATGTTTATTTCCAGGTCATCCACTGTTTAACCATGGACCTATTAACCAATATCAAAGTGTAATGCATTGTAAGATTGATTTAATAAACTGACTTATTGAGTGTTTATTTAGATACTACAATGTAAATGCAAATTGGAGACTTCCAAATCGGTAACATTAAATTTCGTGATTTGAAATATTTTGATTTCCCATATAAGCACTCTAAAAGGTATTTAAAATGTTTCCTGGTGGTCTGATCGAGTTATTTTGTTTATCGTTGAAGAATCGATATCCAATAGCAATCAACTTAATTCGTTTCCATTGATTTTTTAATTTAGGCTGCAAGTCCCGCGTGCACGGAGCTCGAAATGAATGTCACTGATTGGTTAGGTAAGGAAACCAATTTCAACGTTCCGCAAACTTTTTACTTCACGGACTATTTACGATTCCAGGCACCAAGCCGCGGCTCAGCAGCCCAGCCGTGCCAGGGATCAACATACCAAATCTTGGCAAGAAATTTTGATCATAAAGCCTCCATGTATATACAATATTTTGACATCATTATCTGGCTGTAACTTGGCATCGAACGATATTAGGGGATTATCGTATCATGTTTCAAGACGGATATATCTAGATAAAGTTCGACGTGAACCAGGCTTCTCTGTTCTCTCAGTGATAACATTTTATTGTATACAAATTAAATATTATTTTACTAAATAAATAATACCGTACATTTGTGTTTCCCCACCCCCTCCCCCAACAATTGTTGATTGTTTTTTCTTTCTACCATTATTCAACCAAACACAGTTCAGCCACACACGTCATAGCAGGGCCTTAGCCACTAGAAGTGAAATGGTCAGGTTGCGAGCGAAGCGCGAGCACTGATGATTGGGGCTAGGGGCCGCCAAGGGCCCCAGGTCGGGGTTCGGGTTCTGGGGCCAATAAACTGTAATATTATTGTAAACCATTAAACTGTAATATTATTGCATTAAGCCATTAAACTGTAATATTATTAACTAAGACCAATCAACACATAATATAAAACATGTACATATCAAAATTATTATATTTAATCTTTCCTCGTTGGTGCTTGCATAAAACGTGATTTGGATCTAACATGATGATATTGATAAACAATCGAAATTCTCTGTACAATAGAATGCTAAACATTTACAGAGTGGACTTCCTTATGTTGTGGTCATTATTAGGGTCAGGCTCACTATAATCGTGCAAACCCGGTCGCCCATGGTTCACCAACATGGAATGACAAAATATAATAATAATAATGTGGAAAGTGTTAATTACCAAAATTCAAAAGGCCATAATATTATAAAAGTGTAACAAAGTTAGGATGATATTTATAGTCATGAGTATGCAAAATTTGTCTGTCGTCTTAGCAAATCTGCCATTCAAAAAATGCTGTGTATCACAGGGCTTAAAGTTTTTTTTTCTCTTTCTGGCAAAGCCACCTTTATTCTCATTATTGCACCATAAAAAGTTACATAAAATCAATATAAGAACATAATAAATTAATCTCTGTTTTCCTATATATTTTGATTTTCATCTTATTTTTTACAAATAATTTATTTTCATTTAACACTTTTTAGTTTTTATTTCCAAGTTGTGAAATGTTGGTTTTATTTTCTAGTACAATTGATTTAAGCACATCAACATAAAATTTTGGAATATTTTTAAGATGTATATTATCATTTATTATGAAACTAATATGTATAAGGACTTTCAGGGGTGCAAATTTTTGCATATAATACTTTGGAATATCTTTCCATAACCCATCTTCGCCACATAACAACCTTTTTATCCATTGCAATTTGAGTGCAAGACATTGAGTGTAGAAATCAAGTGCTTTCAACCCACCATCATTTGTATTTCCAATTAGCGTTTTACGTTTAACCTTTTCTGTGGAGTCATTCCAAATGAATTTAAACACAATTCCGTTAATGATTGATTTTAAAAACTTTTTCTGGAACATCTATCACACTTGCATTATATACCAAATTACATAGACCTAATGATTTTACAATGATTATTTTGCCTAATAAAGTGAGATTTCTCTTTTTCCATCTATTTAGCAAGGTTTTTAATTTATTTATTTTTTCTGTCCAATTCATGTGGTAACATAAATTTTTGTCATGTCCTAAGTATACACCCAATAATTTTAGAACATTCTTCCATTTAAGATTGTGCGCTTGTTCAGGACACGAATCTTTCCATGGCCCTATCCATATTCCATTACTTTTTTCTTTCTTCAATTTTATTCCACTTACATTTGAGAATTTTTCAATTGTCTCAATTGCTTTAACAATACTATCATTGTTTTTTAAAAACAGAGTAGTATCATCCGCTAGTTGACATATTTTAGCTTTTCTGTTTTTAACCCCGGAAGTGCAATTCCTTTTATATCATTATTATTTCTTATATGTGTAGCCAAAATTTCTACCACTAATGTAAATAGCTGAGCTAATACTGGGCAACCTTGCCGGATGCCACACTCTATATTGAAATATTCTGAACAATATCCTTTATTTATAATGCAACTCTTCGCACCTGAATATAATAGTTTAATCCATTTGATAAATTCATCACTGAAATTGAATTTCTGTAATACTCTATACAAGAAATCTCTGTTAACAGAATCAAAAGCTTTTTCAAAGTCTACACAAATGACTGCCCCATTATTTTTTTTGTTTTCAGCAAAGGTAATGACATCTTCAATGAGCCTTATATTTTCCCCAATATATCTTTTATGAATATACCCTTTTTAATCTGTGCTAATAATAGTTCCCAGGACATGCTTAAGCCTGTTTGATAGTACACCTGAAGCAATTTTGTAGTCAATATTTAGGAGACTAATTGGTCTCCAGTTCTTTAGCAATTCTTTTTCTCCTTTTTTATAAATTAATGTAATAATCCCCATTTTTGGGATTCAGACAGCTCTCCATTGCAAAAACTTTCATTAAATACTTCACATAATATGTCTCCAATTACTGGCCAAAATTCCCGATAAAATTCTACCGGTATGCCATCAGGCCCTGGAGATTTGTTTAATTTCATTTTGAATAGTATATTTTTGCATTCATCATTAGTTACCTTGCCATCACATGTCTCACTTTGCTGTTTTGTGAGCTAATTAACTGGTAGCTGTTTTAGATAATTATTTATTTCTTTACTTTCAATTTCTTTGTTTTGATACATTTTTTTTTTTTTATAAAAGTCAACCTCTTCTTTGAGCACATCTGATGTATTGCTTATTATGGTTCCATCTTCCTTTTTAATTATATTTATTTCCTTTTTAATAGCTCTGGACTTTTCTAATCCGAGAGAGAACTTAGTATTTTTCTCTCCCTGTTCACACCATTTTTTTCTTGATCTAATTTGAGCCCCTTTTGCTTTATCTGTGTGATACATATCTATATTTGCTGTTATTTCATTAATAATTTTATGTTCTTCTGTCTCATTGTTACTGTCCAATATTTTTTTTGTTTAGTTCTTCGATCTCGTTTTCCATTTCTTTAATTCTATTATTATTTTGCTTGGCTTTTTCTTTCCATACTTTATAGAGAAATCTCGTATGTGAATTTTGGTCCAGTCCCATAATAAACGTCTAGATTCTACATTGTTATAATTCCGGTACTGATTTTCAATTAACCTAATTACTAAAACGCTTATCTTTAGGGTGTTCAATATTCATTTTCCAGACTCCAGGTCCCTTTTTTGTTTCATGTGTTTTCAGTTTAAAAGTGATAGCCATATGATCAGTTTGTACTGCAGGTCTTATGTCTGCATAGCATATATAACCAGAAACAAGGTGTGTGGAAATTAGCCACATATTAAGTCGTCTATATACTTGGGGTTTAGCTCTACGCCATGTAAAATGAAGTTTGCTGCAATGATATATGTTTTCCTGGCAAATATGAGTATGTAACGTAAGTTACGTGCATTTGGCGACACGGTTAAACTTTACCATAACCATACTACAAAACTTAAAGTAAAAATTGACAACCTTCCAACCAGCTAACAAATCGGTAACTATAAGCCCTGTGGTACACAGCATTTTTTGAATGGCAGATTTGCTAAGACGGTATTTTGTATCTGGCGACAGATGAATTTTGCATACCCATGACTATAATAAATATCGTTAAAACTCTGTTGTTAACTATAGTTATCAAAACTCCATGAAATTTGATACACTTTTTTTATTATGGCCTTTTGAATTTTGATAACACTTTCCACATTATTATCATATTTTGTCATTCCAAGTTGGTTGAACACCATAGGCGACCGGATTTACACGATTATAGTGAGCCTGACCCTAATAATGACCACAACATAAGGAAGTCCACTCTGTAAATGTTTAGCATTAATATTGTAAAGAGAATTTCGAAACACAAATGTACGGTATTATTTATTTAATAAAATAATATTTAATTTGTATACAATAAAACTTTATCACTGAGAGAACAGATAATGATGTCAAAATATTGTATATACATGGAGGCTTCATGATCAAAAGTTTTTGCCAAGATTTGGTATGTTGATCCCTGGCGCGGCTGGGTTGCTGGACCGCGGCTTGGTGCCTGGAATCGTAAATAGGACGTAAAGTAAAAAGTTAGCGGAACGCTGGTTTAGTAGGTTAGAAGTTTGAAGGAGAGGACTTCCATGTTGTTCGTATTAGACTGTAATAATATCATTAAAAACCATTTAATATAAAACATATCAAAATTATTAAGTTAAACTTTCTACTTCGGTGCATGAATATAACGTAATTTTGGGATATATGAGATTTACATAACATTTGAGAATGTACTGAATATAAAATCCTTAATATTTTACATTTTAATCAGCAATCTATCAGAAATGCGGGGATTGGTTATACTGTAAAGCCTTCAGAACTCCTGCAATATTAAAACAGGGATCTAACAGGCAGTGAATATTCCATTTTGATTTAGTGTAGATGTTTTTTTACATATTTTAAATTTTATTCGAATTCTTTTTATTTTGTATGATTCATATGTTATATTTTCCACAGACAGAAATGAATGCCTGAACTGATATTTTATGGGTTTCAGATTACTTTCTATACAAAACAGATATCATAAATCATCTATTGTCCGACTGTGTGCATTGAACGTTTGACGACGACGATAATGTCTCCAAATTCCCAACCGTAACTTAGGCTACGGGCCTCGCTTGACACTTCACATAAAAGGGCCTGTTAATTAATCTTGCATAGCTTCCTCCTCCTCATCATCATCATCTTCTTCATTATCATAATTATTAATTGTCCAAAGCAAAGTAGGGAAAAACTATGAATTAAAGTGTATTAAATAATAGACGTCTCATAGGCCTAATCCACGAAGTGTATTTCAAAAAATCTAGAAAACAAAAACTTTTCAAATATCTAAAATTTATCTTTCAGCGACAAAACAAGCTAGCTCTCTTCTCATGACTCTCCCAATTAAGTAAACTCTGGATCTGCGCTTGACACGTATTTAATGCTTAAAAAGGGTATATTTACAGTATATTTAGTTATAGAAAATAATGTTGCATAATAGAACTAACAGGAATAAATATACAGATAAAGGCTCCCGAGGGGCCATAGACACAAAAACCGCTTATAATTCAAATATCACTCATCATCTGGCACTTTAGCAGCGTGTGCAAGCGACGCATATTTCTCCATGATAAAAAGTCTTTTTTTTTTAAATTTCCAGACGGCTTCGCGGCCCTCCAAAAATGCTTCGCGGCCCAAATTTTGGCCGCGGACCATAGTTTGCGAAACGTCGCTTTAGACAGCTTAGAATCGCCGTTGTGTTTACGATAAAATGGGGTCGAGTTTTCGATTGCATGGCGACGGTAGGGCGTAAAACGTAATGATGTCAATAAGGAGTCATTTGCACAATGTGAAAATGTTGAGTTCCCGTCGCCCGAATTCTAGGACGCAATTTAGTAAACGTTGTGCAGAGAACGTAGGACGGATGAGTGAATCCGTTTACGCCGTTGCAAAAATCGAAAGCTCCCAATCTATAGCACGACAGAGTTTGAATATTCGGAATGTTTACATTTTCACCAGAAACATCAGATATTCAACAGTGCTGCTGATGACTCCAGCTTCTTTATAATTATATTTGTCACGTGGCTGACTTCTAGACAAGTTTCAGTTCTGTACAAACTCGAAAAAAAAATCTGATTATAAACACATGCTTCTATGTGTACTTTATAATAAATGAAATGTTTATCACCTTGTTCCTGTTTTAGGAGAACTAATTGGACTACCTCCTCATTTTCTTCATAAGACTCCTGGTTCTTTTGGTGGAGGCGTTATACAGGTACTGTTCAATGTAATAATTATACTAATATTGTATATAATCATGAGTAGGGCCTATAGTACATGTAGTACACTCCCAGCACTAGTGTAACAGTATTTAATTCTCTCCTCGGAAGCTGAATATGTGTTCCATATGTTTGCTTTAGTGACCGGCGGAGGTAATGTGAAGCTCTTAGTTGGCACAAATCATTATGTCATACCATAACATAACATCATATCATATACCATACCATATCTTATCATTGTGAGCATATTATATACATCATAAATCATAATTATCTTAATATATAGGCCCATCATACCATACTATTACCATACCATAAAAAGTAATATACCATAATGTCCTCCGACATGCAGCAAGCAGAAACAGTTGTAGAAAAAAAAAATAGCACATACATACATGACTGCATTAAAATGTTATACTATTAAAATGAATAGGGTACAATGAGCGAAGCTACCTTCGTCGCCATGTTAGCAGCTCGAACAAGCGCCATTAAGAAAGCCCGTCGCCGCATTCCGGATCTAGATGATGTGGAAGATGCTATGATCTGTTCGCGCCTTGTCGCATACTGCTCTGATCAGGTACGTCAGCATCTAAGATTTTGCACATTTTTATCAGACATATCAGGAAAAAAAAAGCATTAAGGGCTTTTCTTCAGTGATTTATAAGTATTATTGTTATTGATAATGTGAAAGGGAAGAGATTTTCGGGATAACATAGACCTTATTTTGTATTACACAATTAGTTTGTAGAGTGTTGTATAAATACAGGATTTTTACATAATGCAGGCTCACTCTTCACTGGAAAAAGACGCACTTCTGTCTATGGTCAAGTTGAAGACCCTAGAATCAGACAAACATTTGAGTTTGCGTGGTGCGACGCTAAAGAAAGCTATAGACGATGACCGACGCAAAGGTTTGATTCCATTTTTTGTAAGTACAGCACCATTCGAGAATAATATATGTTTATATATCAGATTAAACTCTGTTCACATGTGTACGTCAAGTAATAGCACTATAACTGTATATATAGTGAAGTTCATTGCCTCCAATATTAATTAAGTACAGAAGTTTTAGGTTTGAACAAATTTGTTCACAAAATGCGTTCACGAGGGATTAATATATTATTTTTTACTTGTTTTGAACTGTTTAGGTCTGTGCTACCCTCGGTACCACCGGTGCGTGTTCCTTTGACAACATCGAGGAGATGGGTCAAGTTTGTAAGTATAACTAATAGATATACAATACAGATACATGTCGGCTTTGGACTCATTGTATGTGTATGATCGCTGACTGCGATTCTACTACTGTACTCAATTATTCTTCACAGGAACATTTTGACTGTCAACCATGTAGGTCTTCAAACATGAGCTTTTGAAATTCGCCTCATTTAAAACGCTGTTGGTCTCTGTCTGCTGTGATTGTTAGTGTCTTGTGTGTCATGTTTTCATGTGTCTGGAGAGATCAGAAATTTTGAGTACGTTTGTCCACAGGTTCCGCATCAACGTTGTGGGACTGCTGGAAATGGTTGTAGTTTGTTTTAAGTCTTGCAGAATGACGTCAAAGATGGCTAATTATGCCTACTTTTCGATACTCTCAATCACATTATTACATTTAAGCTGTGGAACTGTTGGATCCACTGAAGCGTTTATTATTGTTCAAGCCAGAGAGACTGAAACCTCCCCCATGGCTGCTTTGGGCGCAGACTGGTTGTACATAAGGAACCCTTTCGAAATAGAATAATTGTTTTAATGACTTTACTGGGCATCTCTAAAAGGAAGAAATTATTAGGCCATTATTCATCGAAAAGATATAGGCCCTATGATAGAGTGGTTTAGGAGGAAACCATATTGTTCTTCTCAATTTCATAGCTAGATTTTTTGCAATAAAAATTATAGAGCAAATTACGAATTAATAAATAATACAATACTAAACAACAATGACTATTTACACAAATTACCGTGCAATGATAATATCATTGCATTATATTTATGTTTATATTATAAACTCGCTATCTGTAATGAAAACGCATGCTAGAGTATACATTATTTTTTAAATTATACAAGTGAATAATGGTTGAGTTTGAATTAAAAGACTGTCTCGTACGATTTAAATTAAACTTAAGTTGCCGAAACCCGCCTGAGGCATAACTGTTTTTGTCCTGCTCTACATATAATATATTAGCCTCATGTGCTCTGTTTGCTTTTGGTAGGTCTTTATCAATAACTTTCTTTCTAGTCAATTCTTGGTTTATCAATGATTGCGGACAGACCATGAATAGATCTAATAGCTAATGAAGTAATAGAGCACTTAGAATCATAGACGGGATCTAGCTTTTTGTGAAAAGATGTGGATGAGATGCCTTGGATGATAATGGTACGGTGATAATGTTGGTTGTGCTATGATTTTAATGATAAAGACATACAAGTGAAATGAGCCGATAGCTAGGATAAGGAGCACCGTCAAGTACCCATGGTTCTATTTTTCAGGAATACCTGCAGTTTGATTCCTTTTGTAGTACTCCACTGAGCGAGTCGACCTTTGTCTAGTTCCAAAGGTGAAAAGTATAGCTTACCATGAGTTTATGTAATTATTTAACTTTCTTTAGCTATGTTACCTTAACTCCTACTGCAAAGTTGACTAAATCTAAGTTATAAAATCATCTATTAAATTGATTGATTGATTAATAATCATCTGTACTAAAAACCAGGTGGGAGTGGAACACCCTGAATCAATATTTCTTTTTAGAATATACTACGTGCACCCGTGAATTAACGTAATGTCCACATATTATTAATTTCCTATATTTTGTCACTGCATATAAAATACAATATTAAAAAAACAAAAACACAAAGGAAAAAGTTTTCAGGAGGTGGGCCACCTTGTGTGGCTCTCGAACCTCTATCCAATGC